TTAGATCACTTTTACAATTTGTCCTTGGCAAACTGATGCTGGCTTTTACTCATTATTATGCTCAAGATGCTTACAAAATTGGGTTTGTTCCAGGATTTTTTCCAGAAACCAGAAATGAGGCTGACTGGCCTGCCACTCTCTAGTCCTCCCTCCTGTTCTTTAAATATTAAAGACAGCCAACACATTTCTGTTCTTTATAAGGTTGGTACCTCAGCCGTTTCGAAACTACTTCATCCTTTGCACTTCTTAAAGTAATCTTGTGTAAAGTACATCAGATCAAACAGATTTGGAAAAGTTACATTTCTAAAATTCTTGGATATTTTCAGTTTAGCCACTTTGGAAGAACCAAGTGGCTAGAGATTTCCCTGTCTTACTCTATACCTGAAACTTTTAATACTGTAATTACATCAGAAAAAAGTAATCTTTCACCAAGGAAGTTACCAAGCTATGAAAGAGATACGAAAGATGGCAACAAACAAAACTGAATGAGAGCCATAAAATACTGAGAGAAACATCTGTGAGATGGCATCTCCCATCTCAAGCTGCACTCACAACTCTGTGATGACTATAAAATGAAAGCTGCTCTCTCCAGCAAAATATCAGTGGTCAGTTCAATGGTGACCTTTGCCTTTCCGTCAGGTGACAATCTCCTAGTTCCTAATGAGTTTCCTGCAGTATATCTAACTTTGCAAAAGATAAATATGGCCTGCCACGACACCTGTGATAGGTTTCTCAAGACTGCCTTAGTCTGTAGAACTATGCTATTAAGCACACTGAAGCAAGAACCCATTTTACAGATGTGCTTAAACCTTTTGAACTGCCCCATAGCAACAATCTTTTAATACTTCCATCATTAAACAATAAAATATTAAAAAATAAAACTTAACCTCCCCTTACCTTCTCACGTTTTAGAAATCTTAAAAAAAGAACAAGAAATCAAGCATCATTTAAAAAAAAAAAACCCTTCAGCCATTTTCATATCCGAGTCTGCTTTTTTGTGTGTTCTTGTGTGTGTGTGTGTGTGTGTGTGTGTTTGTTTGTTTGTTTTTAAAAAAAACTTCCTTATTATGCAGTGTCCCTTCCAGCTTGGGAAAAATAACCTCTAAGATGAATCAAGAAAACTCATTCACATAGCTTTGCTTTTCTAGGAAACGCTAGCCCAGCTACATCCTGACAGATATCTTATCAGTATCTATAACTTCAATTATCTTGAAATGAAGAAAAGACTTAAAAACAGATTAAATTTTAAATTGTTGGCATGTAAACATTTAGGAAAGCTACAAGTTTTGGATCTGCTAATGACAAGCAAAAACTGTAATAAAATGTTGCATTGATTACATTCAAAATAGCAGTATTCTCTGATCTGGTGGGAAACCTTCTCCTTAGGAGAAGACAAAATAAAAGACAAATAGTTTACTGAGGTAGATAAGGATGTTGAAAAACAAAGAATCAGCAGTACAAACACATGGTAAGTTCACTTGCTTTACTTGGCACTGTCTAGTCCTCAAATACTAAGCGCCACAGAGGCTGATGCTTTCAGAGAAGAGAGTACTATGGAAACGATATATTGAAGAAAACAACCTATTTGGAGGAACTAAAACAGAAGGTCCAAAAGCTGTCTACTTGCCATAAGAATCTAAAAAAAGAACAGAAATTGCTATCTGGGCAGCCTGACTAATGCACCCACAAAGAACAGGTGTTGTTGTAAGGAAGGCAAGGTGGTCAGTCACAGGATCAGAAGCCTTACTCTGCAGTAAGATAAACTTAGGTTATTCGGTAATTTAGCGCTTTTAGAGAAATAATTGTATTTTATTCTTTTCACCAAGTTCTTCTGCATTCACTTTCCCATGCTTCAACAGAAAAAAGAGAATATAAAAGAGTAAGAGCTGAAAGAAGAAAAGGGGTTGTGGGATAGAGGGTTAAATACAGCCAGTTTCTCTGTTAATAAAAAAAGAAACTATCATTTGATTATCCCTCCAAATAAACTTTAGAGAACCATTCCATGACTTCAGCTAAAATTGGAAATGACTAACGCTAAGTTATCCTTAAAGATTATATGAATGCCAATTTGAGTCACGTCAGTGACTATTCAACTTGATAGCTGTGCATGATTTGACATACTCTCCATTACCATCTCCAGTTTTGCAGGCATGTCTCTCCGTCATTATGGGGTAAACAAGGGATAGCATTTATGAGCAAGTTGCTAAGGGTGGAGTTGTAGGTGTGTTCAGAATTAATTTTCCATCCCCACCAATTTCAAAACATGCAATCTGGTTATCGTGGATGAAGAACTGCATTACTGGAAGAAGGTCTGGCAAAAGTCTGAAGCCTTATGTGAAAAGGCCACACCGATTTTAAACAGGTGTGGTTAGTGATATGACCAGAAAATACAGGCAGAGCCCCTCAAAGTCCCTCAATTCCATATGCCCACAGCGAAGGGACTGCCGCAAAGGCAGGAAAACCTTTCAAGGTAACATGTCACCAACACGAGGATTCTGGTCTTCCAAACCAGACACTGCCACTGCATGCTAAAGCCGTTAAAGCAGATCACTTTACATTCACTGACCACACAGAATGCACTCTAGCTTTGCATAAATTAAAACAAAATCGATATACATGCCTTAAAACGTATGCACTTAGCATCTCTGAAAGAAGAGGAAAACTAGGGGCTAACGACAAAAAAAAGGACCACACCGATTCCTCCCTTCCCCTTCACCCCCCGGGCCGCCCTCAGGGTGTCCGGCGGCTCCGCGCTTCCGACCCGGCTCACGCCCGGCGCGGAGGCCGCCGGGGGCAGCGCGA